CAAAATTTGGTTACTTTTGCTTCGTTCTCACTTGTTCACTCACATTTTCTCTCATACATAACCACATATATAAACAAGAACAACGATTTTTGAATGGAAAAATTAGTTTGAATGTTTTTAGCAGTCTGTCCCGCCTTACGATGAGCTTTATCTCATGCAACCCACTGGTTGGAAAAGGTTTCCCTGCCTTATTTAACCATTGGTTAAGCTAAGGTAAATATGCTTTTACATTTACTGGCATTGCTGTCAGACAATTTCTGCGACCATATCACACCTGGCCACCTAACTTCCCAGACTACAAACCCCTTGCGAGAGAGACCAACAAAATTCCTTGTAACGACAAAGATGAACTGAAGGCAAGGATTATGGCAGCATTCACCAACTTAAACAAGTAGACCGTCCAGAAAAGTTGGAGGAGATTCCGAAGAGGCCGTGATTGAAGCCAATATCGATTTTATTGAATAAATTTACTCTATAATATTTCAAGATATGTTTGTATCATTTTGGTAAATATACCCGTTAAAATGAAATGTTATTTTCATATTTTTGCGTCATTTAGATGACAATTTATCCATCGCACCCTGTATTTTAAATCAAATTTTAAGTGGAAAGTGACCGACCACTATTGACCGTTTCATACGCTTTCATGTAATCATCAGTCACTCGGTAATTGCAGTGTGTGAAAATAGGAACCTTTATACAACGAAGCAAGTCTTAGATGGTAATGGTTTAGCCGGTGCGTGCATATCATTGACACAGAAGCCAAACTCAGCGTGGGATGATTGGGTAAAAGTGAATGAAACAGGCAGTCGTGGCCGGTCACTACCCACTTGAAATTTGATTTAATATATCTTTATTCATTACTCTTATGCATACATAGTAATCGAACTCGAATCCAAAATATTGTTGGAGGTTTCAAGCCCCCCACCCCAATATTTTAGCCTTCCTCTCTTTGGAAGAGTCAATCTGTGATCATTTCTTTACTATAAGAATTCAACCAACAATATAATTTCTTGGATAGTACGCATCAGGAAGTTTAAAGTACTCATCAACAGAATTATAAAAGAAATCAATAAACGAAAAGGCGCTTCCTGTAGACAAACGAGTCACCCAGAATATAGTATAATGAGTTTCATCCTCCCAGGTGTTAAAAACTCGTAGCCTTGTGCCAGACTACAATAAAGTTATTATATTTTCATGAAAAACAGAAAAGGTAATCAGGCAAAAAATAATACGGAAACTATACATACTTATTTATATATTTCTCTATACACCATATACTTTTTGACCTAGGAAATTATGGCCCTTCACAACTTCCTCTCTGATTCTTTAAACCCTCTTTTTTTGTGGTGATTATTCTGACATTCCTTAATTCAAGCTTATCAAGTTGGTTATTCGCTTTCTTTTGTTTCTCTTGCCCTACGGGTGTTAAGTTTTCGAAGCCTTCTTTCTTTATTATGTATCCATAAAACATATCCCTGAAGCCCCACCCCCCACCGAACCACGTGTGAACAGCACGGTCATTAATTTCATCCTCAGAAATGTTGCACATGTTGCTTGCTCTGATTATATTTCAGCTTCAAATTTGTATTGTAAATTAGCTTCTGAATTATATGCAATAATAAATTATATTTTGTGTAAGTTACAGCAAATGATTTGGGCACCTCGAAGTGGTGCAATGGTTAGCAAGCTTGTCTCGCTAGAACAATTACGACTGAATAGTGAGTTCGATCCTCACTGGGTGCTCCATACTTTCGGCCTTGTGCCACATCTAAGCTACTCTTAGAAAATCACTCGGCACTTCTACGTGGTGTAATGGTTAGAAAGCTTGTCTCGCTAGAACAATTACGACTGAATAGTGAGTTCGATCCTCACTGGGTGCTCCATACTTTCGGCCTTGTGCCACATCTAAGCTACACTTGGAAAATCACTCGGCACTTTTACGTGGTGTAATGGTTAGCAAGCTTGTCTCGCTAGAATAATTACCACTGAATAGTGAGTTCGATCCTCACTGAGTGCTCCATACTTTCGGCCTTGTGTCACATCTAAGCTACTCTTAGAAAATCACTCGGCACTTCTACGTGGTGTAATGGTTAGCAAGCTTGTCTCGCTAGAACAATTACGACTGAATAGTGAGTTTGATCATTACGGAGTGCTCCTTAATTTCGGCCTTGTGCCACACCTAAACTTGGCTTAAAAAACCACAATACATTCTTCCTTTTTGGCACTTCGACGTGGTATAGTGGTAAGCAAGCTTGTCTTACTAAATCAATTACGACTGAATAGTGAGTTCGATCCTCACTGGGTGTCCCATACTTTCGGCCTTGTGCCACATCTAAGCTACGCTTGGAAAATAACTACAGCAAATGATTACGTTCTGTTGAAAATCAAAAGGTGCTCTTTTCACCTCGAAAAAGCAGAAAATACTTGATCACCTGAGATTTTCAACCCCATGTCCTTATGCCACTTTTTCAACTAAGTTTGGTAAATAGATGCGTTACCATTGCAAATATTGCACGCAGTCTTCTGTCAGCTAAAAGTCAAAAGGTACACATCGCTTTTCCTTTCTTTCCTTTTTACCACTTGACTATAATTACGCTTCCAATCAATACAGACCGAAATCTCGACAAAATGTTGTCTCTCTTATTTTCCTTTGTTCTCTTTTTCCAAGAATTTTGTCTGGAGCAAAGTATGGGAAAAGTGAACAGCAGCTGCCCAACAAAATCTACCAGGCATGTTCATATATATATATATATATATATATATATATATGTGTGTGTGTGTGTGTGTGTGTGTGTGTGTGTGTAAGAATACGCAGCTTTCAAAAGAGTTTGCCTAATATTGAAAACAGGAAAAAAGAATGCTCAATACGGTATTAAATGGCAGAGCTTTATTATACAAGTTGCGATTGGTAAATTGTCGCTATTTCTTATTTTTGATTTCGCGCATGCGCGTTGTTTGTTTTTCATTTTATCGACTGCGCGGTATAGTATATATATATATATATAGAGAGAGAGAGAGACAGACAGACAGACAGACAGGGAGTGAGAGAGAGAAAGGGAGAGGACGTAGGAAAGGCGGAGTAGTGGCTCGGATTGAGGAATCGAGGAGCCGAGTTTGAATTCCAGCCGACTCCATTACATTCTCTTACGTCCTAATACCCTTGGTAAAGGTATGAATCTTCTCCCTCCAGCTATGGGTAAATAGCAGGACAGACTGGGTTCTATAGACTCGGGTGGCAACTGGTCTAGGAGAAGGACAACTCTAAATTCAAAACTTGTGGAGGGTCGTTTGGGGACAATGTGGCAAGTAAAGTACGAGGTCACCCTTCAAAAAGTCTGGTTGGTTCTGAACAAAGCCTTCACCACTAGAATCAAATCATATGTGCTGGGGTCTGGGCAGTCAGTTCGTAGGAACTGAACTGTTTTACCTTATACGTCGATTACGACGGGAAAGTCCAAATATATATATATATATATATATATATATATATATATATATATATATATATATATATATATATATATATATATATATATATATATATATATATGTGTGTGTGTGTGTGTGTGTATATATATATATATATATATTACAGCACGCTCAAAAAAGTTTGTATCCGTTAACAATAACACATTTAAAAAAATCATATTTCGATTCGCATTTAATTTTTTCATCTCGGATGCTACCTGGATTTTACCAAAAACAAAATAATTTCCATGCCTGAAGATGACTGAATGTACAGTTGAAAGTACTTGCGTATTAAAGAAAGACCTTATACAGTTTATAATTTTTAAAAACAAGGAACATAACATTCATCGAGTGATTTGAAGGTTAATGAACCTTTAAAATTTTGTTTGCGAAAGAATTTCGCCATTTTATATCATTAACTTTACTAATCTATTTTTTGTATGAATGATTCATTGTAATATGAATTGCACCACATATTTGATATATATATATACGTATATAAAATGTTTATGTATATAAATATTAATATGTATGCAATTTTTATATACATTATTTATATGTTATATATACGCGGTACTTATTGGAAAGCGCTAAATATCAGTGATAGAGCTAACATATTTAGTTGGATTGATGTATGTTTGGGACCCTGGGTTACAAACTCACATCAATTCAACTATATATATATATATATATATATATATATATATATATATATATATATATATATAGTGGAGAGACGTTACGTGATCTAAAAGCCCTCACCTAAAAAAAAAGAGAGACTTGCGTTTGACAATCGATCTCGCTCCCCTAATTAAAAAAGAAGATAATTCTTTAAGTAGAAAATACACTGAAAACTTAATAATAACATTATTAACAACTATAGACACAAACTTAAAACATTACATTACGTCGCCACCCTTCTTTGAATCCATTATTAAAGAATCTAACTTCTATCTTATCTAATAGAAAGGATAGAGTCGTAAAGAAAGAAGCCATAAAATCAGTGACACAGCAGCTTCTTGCTGCGTAGGTTAGTCACACAAAAGGCAAGATAAAACCCCTTACTACACAAATAGACACAACTACAAATACACATTACCATTCGTTGCACATTTAGACATACAAGGATCATCCCAAACCTACATACACATAGAATTATCTACAGTTTTAATGCACGTGACACGGGTCTGACCAAAAGAGAATTGGCCCAAACATAACGGAAAATACCAGAGTTTTCTGTTTTTTTCTAGGTTTTCTCTCAAACGCTGACGAAGCTTTAATAAAAGTGAAATATGTTAGATTGATATACGTTTCCTATTTGTTCTTTTGCTTTATCATATATATATATATATATGTGTGTGTGTGTGTGTGTGCGGTTGTGTGTGCGTGAGTGTGTGTGTGTGTTTTAAATTTTAGATATTTCATAATAATCAATATGTGTGATAGAACGTTTATAGATATAGGCATTGTGGAATAGGAATCAACACTGCATGATGATAGTCAGTTTCAAGTTTTATTTCGATGTTCAGATCAATCTATCTATCTATCTATCTATCTATCTATCTATCTATCTATCTATCTATCTCTGTATATATATATATATATATATACAGAAAGATAGATAGATAGATAGATAATATTAGTGGTCACACACACACACACACACACACACACACACACACACACACACACACACACACACACACACATATATATATAAATAAGTACCTCCACTATTTCGGCATAAATTTTCGATACCTAAGTTTAAAATGAATTTTTTACAATGAAAAAACATTCTTGAAGATTTCATTTTAGCTTTAATTGAAAATTTAATAACTAAATTTACGATTTCTATTAATTAAACAATTCTGGTGTATTTCAGATAGAAACTATATACATTTGATTGTCAAATTTAATTTAAAATTTTTAAATTTTCTTAAAAACGGCCATTTTCTTAATTTTAAGAAATTTGTAAACAAACACAAGTTTATCGATTTTTAAAATATTTAAAAAATATTCTGACACGTTATTTTAGTAAAATTAAAAAATTTAAAGTTAAAGTAATCTGATTACAAAGAAATCTTTGTTACTTATAGCATAAAAAAATAATATACAACCAATTATTAACGAGCGGTCCCGTTCATGTGTTCGATCTTATTGATAATGATTGATTGACGAGCCGATGACGGCTACTACTGATGACCATAAATGACATAATTTTTAAGTCTGAGTTTTTTAAAAAAATTATTATATTTGAGTATGACACACAATACAATACATAAAATAAAATTATTTAGTGAAATAGTAAATGAAAAAAAGAAAAAATAATTTAAAATTTAAAGTTTACACTTTTGAACGGAAAATACGACTTATAAGAAACGAAATGTTTTGAAAAGGCCACGTAAAGGGACAAAACCCTTAGATCACGTGACCTTGTTATAATAATGGCAATTTCTGTATATCATACATGGAAATAAGGAATGTATTAAGTAAAAAAATACAACATAAAAAATTATTTTTAAAAAAGTAGCTCAACTAAATTTATTAAACTTAGCAATTTTGGATTCGTAAATTTTTTTTCTACTTAATTACTACATAATATTGAGGAACCCTCCTAATACAGAGCTTTACACGATGTTAAACTATTATAAATTATTATAATTAAAATTTCTTAAAAAACGAAAAAATTCTTGTAAAAATTAATTATTCATCAGAAAAAATTAATTCTTCAGACAATAATGTCCTTAATATTACTTATTTACAAAAAGCAATTAAAAGCTTTTCTAATTAAGTAATATCATAGTTTTATTGATTCATTATTTTTCAATTCAGACAAAATTTTTTCAGTTAAGTAGCTCAAATTTGTGAAAGAAAAGTAGGTTATTTACCATCTCCAAAGACTCCTTCTTTTAACAAAAAAATAAAATTGAGGAGCCAAAAAGGTTTTGGGCGAAATTTCATGAAATTAACTAAGTGGGGGGTAACATATTTAAAAAAAAATATTTTTTACCAAAATTTTCTAAAAACAAAATATTCGAAAAATAATTTCATTCATTTGTGATTAAGTCCTGAAAATTTCATTAAGATTGGACAATTATTTTATTTTTACAAGAATTTCCAAATCAATATGTTTTCAACGGTAAAAAAACGCAAAAAAAAACTGTTATTTTAAACGTCGCCGCGATGACGTAAACAAAGACAACTTTAACCAAAATTTCGAACGTGTTAGAAAATATTAAAAAATTTCAAAAAATAATTAAAAAATACTTTTTTCTTTCATCTTAATATTAACATAAGCATTTTGACGATAATACTTTATTTTCTTTAAGTTTGTGGCATTTTTCATTTACGCTATGCTGTTTTTCCGCGAAAACAGTGGACATACTTATATATAAATTTCCAAGAGGATAGAATCCAGGTAGAACTCAATGACCAGGACAGAGTAAGAATATAATAAAAAAAGGCTTAAACACTAATATTCCATGATTTTAATTTATTTCATTGGAATATATATATATATATATATATATATATATATATATGAATATATTCCATACCCGTTCTACCTGTATATACATACATACACATACATATATATATATATATATATAAATTTCCAAGAGGATAGAATCCAGGTAGAACAGGTATGGAATATATTCATATATATATATATATATATATATATATATATTCCAATGTAATAAATTAAAATCATGGAATATTAGTGTTTAAGCCTTTTTTATTATATTCTTACTCTGTCCTGGACATTGAGTTCTACCTGGATTCCTCTTGGAAATTTTTATATATATATATATATATATATATATATATATATGTGTGTGTGTGTGTGTGTGTTTGTGTGTGTGTTTGTGTGTTTGTGTATGTATTGACCACTAATATTATCTATCTATCTATCTATCTTTCTGTATATATATATATATATATCAAAGTATATAATTGGTATATACGGAATGAATTCCAATAACCAACAATTACTATTCTTAAAAGAGTGCTCAATACAAAGTAGAGCAGATATAATTATTTTTATAAAAATTATAACATAAGTATGTTATAAGATCACTACAAA